CACGATATAATTTGAACAACATTTACTTATTAATACTTATTGAGTGATTAATTTAACCCTTATAGTGCCGAACAACGATACATCGTTGCGTATGCGATGGCGCTTTACTATTCGCATCGCGACAGAACTCTGTCTCAAAATAAATTTATAAAACGTTATAAATGGTTGAATAAATAAATAAATAAATAAACCAAAAAAAATGATAATGGTATTGGTAATGGAGCAAATCTACTCAAAGCAATGCTGTTGTAGCCTAATTAAGCGTATAATAATATAAACTATATTACATTGTAATCAGAGGTTGGTTGAATAAATAAATAAATAAATAAACAAAAAAAAATGGTACAATGCAAAACAAAACAATGCTGTTGTAGCCTAATTAAGCGTATAATAATATAAACTATATTACATTGTAATCAGAGGTTAGGTGTTGTTTTCATCGTTATCAGTGAATATTTGTTTAATGTAACATGTCGTTTGTACCTAGTATTGATACGGAATAATTGTTCCAATTGTACTGTTATTTCATTTATTTATTTAACTGGTCAGTAATTTGGGAGTAATCCTATTCGTGAGAACAGTCTAAGGTAATTAGAGGCGAGATATACAGCTTTTGTTTAACATAATTCATATTCGAAAACATCGGAATAATCCTCTCACATTATGCGTCACAGTTTGAACAGATTACCGTCCCAAAGTGTCACGAAGAGAAAAGGAACTTTTGAAAAACTACTGTTTAATTCATCCAAATTAGGATACCTAATTCATTACTAACAATAATTTATCGACAGCTGTCTGGTGACATTAAACAATGAAACGGAAGCAGTGTGTCCTAATTAAAACACAGCCTCACCTCCGACAATTTCTGTCGAACATTCCATGAAATTTGCAACTTAACCTAGTTTAATGGAACGGCCCTTTCTTTATTCAAACAGCTTTTATGATCTCGCGATAATGTCTGTAAAAGTAGTCACAAATGAAACGTGCTGTTTGATCGATTAATATTATAGATCCCGGTTAATCTGTGTTCAAATAAAGACCCGTAAATTACCGATGGATCGAAAGCCCGTGTATTGTTCGGTGGTTGAATAAAATCGCGAAAAGGGTTACATTTTGAACGAGGAGTTCGCTGAACGTTATGTACATATTGAATTTTCCTGGTCGTTCTTTAGTTGTTCCATAATTCCACAGTCTTCCCCCGTAACGCATTCATCCGTCGAATTAATCGCGGCCAAATGAACGTTAGGTTAGATATGACAAAAGTGTGGGGATTGCGGGGAACTGTTTTTGTTTCGGGTTATCGTATTTACAGGAATTCGTAGTTGTCGCTCGCGACAGCGAGTATTGCTGCTCATTAGCTGGCTAATTAATTCGGCCGATACGACTGACAAGAAAGAAACAGGGACACGAATAATAGAATTTGTGAATCAATTGAAATTTCGAGAAAATGTAATTATTCAAGCGAACGTTTCGATCGAAAGAACGTCCTCGAAGCTTCAGATTGCTCAGTTTCGTGAATGATAATTGGAAAAATTCCGTTTAATCTTTGACGTGGGCGAAGAGTACTTTTCCGAACTAAACCTTCGAATTTTTGTTTCATTATTTTTGCAATGCGACATTTGTACTGTTAGACTATTTCCGAGATTAGAAGCTATTTTACGACGGTGCATTAACTATACGAAGTTTAGTATAATTTGTGGAATATTAATTCCAATTCTTCACTTCCAATTCTAAACTTCACTTCAAGAGCAAGTGATTATTAATTTTAACACGAATAAGCAATATTTTTCTGAATCAAACTTTGGTCGAATAAAATGTTTTCCACGTTTGAGGACGATCTACAACAGTGCACTTACCGTAACGATTATTTTCAACCAAAATTTCAAATGAAACAATCATCTTTAACGAATGAGAATTAAGAAAATATGTTCAAAATTTTTCTACGATTTCTACGCCCTAAAGTACAAAGTTATAGTAAATTTTGAAGTAAGAACGAAAGAGAATATCATTCTCGTGATTGAATAATCTGAAAATTCAACACGGACACGGAAAGGGTGTTTAGGTGGTGCGATTTTTCATCCTGGCCACGCGTTCGTGGAAAGGGGTGGAATAAATTAGACCGCGGCTGTTCGTACACAACTATTTTACAAGTTCCACAACGGGCTGCGCCAGCCGCTGCCTTCCAATGATCAATATGCACCACGTGAGATAAATAAATTTCAATGGCTCGCCGCAGAAGCTTTAGAATTCTCGATCCGGTCGGCGCCATTTGTCATGTCGAACGCGCGTATCGCATAAACGAGCGTGAAAAATACACAAAAGGGGAGTTGAATCGAGTTCTTACCTTGCTGCCGAATATGAGGCAGAGCAGCAACGTCACCGTGAGCTGGGTGTGACAGAAAAATATCACGTACAATAAATCCGGATTGGCTGGCGACTGCAAGAACAACCTGCAACCAGAAAGATTGCGCCTTCTGAACGCTCGTTTTCAAGATAACGCATCGCTTTTTATGACTTAGTCGTCAATTTTGCCGGATGCTTCAGGAAATCTTCTTATTTTCTTTATTATCTATGTTATTTATTGACCGTACAATTGGATTTTTGTGGTGTTAGAAAGTGTATATTGGTGGCTGAAAGTGTCACAATAAGGTCTAACATATATGCGTACTGTCCGACAAACCTAAAGTGAAGCCTCTGACGTCACACAGGGGCTAAAAGTGGGAGATGTAGGGATAGAATAAGGCTATCGCAGTTACTCTTAGGTCTTCCCTTATAGTCGGCCAATAGAGATAGGATAAAGCTATCGCACTTACTCTTCTATGAACAATAGATGACGATCGGGTCTCGTTCGAGCAGTCGATAATTGAT